AAAAAGTGCAAATTTGAGCAAGAGCCTGGTGGTGGAAAGGGTAAGAATGCATGATTGCAAACGTGGTGTATAATTTCTACAGGAAGCCCGTTCCAATGTTATGAAAAGGTTTGATTGATCTGTGATAAATAGTGTACAAAGAAATATGTCGCAAGGTTGATTAAAAGTATTAATTAAAGTATGTGTCAAACTGATCACTCAGTATTGTTATTATGTAATTTCAACCCCACCTCACAATCCATCCATTTTATACATTCTTTCCCACATTCAAGTCAAATATTTTTTAGTTTGTTTTGTGATTTTCTTATTATTATTAATGTAAATATTTTCAATACAAAACTGTTTTGCTGGAATAAACCTTTAAATGAAGTCTAATTAATCATACCACGCACCTCTGACATTATACACAAACTCCAAATATTTCTGATCAAAACTATTAATGTCCATGTATGTCTATGGATTCCAACAATTATTTACCCAAAAACCTATACAGAAAATAAAAGCTGCATAATTTGGTGGATTAGAGTATTTCTTCTTAAAAGTGTTAACTTTCAGTGTGTATTATTTATAAAGTATGTGTATATTCATGTTCAATAGCCATGAAATTGTTATGTGTTTATAGATGGTGTCGTGTTATGACAGAACAGCTGTTAGTGTGCATGGAGTGACTTGTCTTTTACTGATCTAAAATTGGATATGGTTTCACCAACCAGTTGAGGTCATTTGAGTCTGTCAGGCAAGGACAGGTATATCATGAAATTATATCCATTGCAATTTATGCAGACTTTGAAGTACGTAATCATACAGACTGGGTCAGCTACTTTTACCATGCATTTCTCTTCCCAATCAGGGATGCAAAACTGTTTTGTATTTTTTCTCTAAATTATTTATAATACCAGTAATAATATTAAAAACAGGTTTATTAATACATGTACATTTAACTTGTATTCAATGCTTTTTCTATGGATATGCTTATTAAATCTCTACATACGGTAATATCATTTTGTGTTCGGTGGCACGTTACAGAAAGGTTTTACATGTGTCATGTGTAACTTAGATTGACTTGAGTGTGTCTATGATCAAAATGCCATATTTCAATGATCCGGTATAAACAAAATTAACTGGTGGTCTGCCTCTCTTCATAATTACAGTTGTACGCGAACTTCGAATCAAGATTATATTTTCCTGCAAGACATGCACAATACAATGGCTGACAGCAAAATGTTGTACTCCCTAGGTTCGCGTGACTGCGCACTCACCTGAAGCAGTACACTAAACAGCATTGCATCATGGGATTTATAGTCACAAATTGACACATTTTCAAAGGCCTTCAAATTAAAATAAGAGACAATACAACTTTAACAGAATAAAGAAACTTTAATACGCAACACTTAAAATAGCTGTTTGTATAAAAAAAGACCCTGTTAACATATTTTGATTGATTGTTGCTCAGGACATTATGATTGGTTAGAAATGTTGCGCTGTAATTCAAATATTACCCAAATAATTAAGCTGTATGATTACAAAAATGAAATCCATGTGATGGGGTCAGGAATGCTATGTTTGTAATGTACTGCACATGTCTATGAGTGCGCAATGTATGAAAAAAAATTGAGCAGGTCTTCACCTCTGCATGCGGTGCCTGAACTTTGACCTTAGGGTGTTTTTAGTGTACAGTAGGGTTGTAAAATGTGTTGCCAAGGAGGGTCATGAATAAACAACTCGTTTTATTTATTGAATTGTAGTTTGTAATGATCTGTTGTAAAAGAATTTGAGTTTAACAGTACTTCAGCTGTTCTCCGTGTTTGGTATGGGTCCCATAGCGACATGCTCAACGCTAAAATATATATTGTTTGTTTACACTAAATTTGAACATGGTTATCTACGTTGACAATCACCATTTAAATTGTACTTAATTAATATTGATTCTCGTCCTTGTAAATACATGCTTGTTTCAATATCAGGACATCTTAGCCCCACATAATTGGATGTTGCTTTGGCCTTGGACAATATCCCTGGTGAAGGTGTGTTTGTGTGATGGAAGACTGGAATAGTAACTTTGATGAATGTTGTTATTTTCAAAGGAGACAACTATTATTACCTATATGTTATGGGCTGTGTATAACGTGGTGGTCAATGTGTTATGTCCATTTTAAAATATATCATTCATCAGAAATGTATTCTAATAATAAGAATAATCATTATTGCATAATCGTATCCTTATTTGGATATTGACTCAGAAAAATGAAAATTACAATAAAGTCAAAAAACTGAGGAAGTAACAAAATTAAAAAGAATAAAAAAAAAATTATATGTACAATTATGATTACCGGTAGGTTCATAATTTTGAATTACAGCTTGCATTACCATTGTTTAAAGAGGCAACAACTGACTCAAACTCATTTTTGCTTATTTCCATATGTCATTTCTTTTTTTAAATCTTTTAATAGAACTTGCTGAATATCCAGTGTTGAGCAGTGTTATACATGTACATAGCCATGTTTTCAGTGAAAACAACGATAACAATTAATTTAAGACTGGCCCTATATTTGTCAAGTTCTTCACGATTGTTAAAACGTTTTTAATATTCTGCAAGGGGGAAAAAAAATAAAATGATGTGGCTCTCTGTTTCTCAGAAGTGGTCAGGCCTGTGTTGATAGACTTAGTACAAAAACTGTATTGAACATTGAAAAATGTCAGGAAAAGTCAAATTTATACTATTAGTTTTGAAAGAAGTGATGGCTTTACCAGGCAAACACATGTATTTTTTTCCAACCAGCTCATAAATAAGTCATATTTACGTCATACTCTGTGTCAGAGGTCATTATGAACAGTACTAAGATCATGTGACAATCGCGTTCCCCTGATTCAAATCACATGGTTAACACATTTCTTCAAATTAAAATGACAGCTGATAATGGTCTTCAACAGTGGGTTTTTCTTTTTCACTATTTGTTCTATTCTTAGATTTGACTCAGTACATTTTGATATGCAAAGCTCCGTAAGAATATACTGTGAAATACTTTATTTTAGCTGGAATTAATTTTCGCTGAAAAGACGTTTTGGGTGTTTTGTATGGATTTTATTTTCACTGATTTTTGACGAGTTAAATGTAAAATATAGGAAAAAAAGAATATTCGCTTGATTTTATTTTTACTGAATCATTCCTTCAGCGAAAATAGCGAAAATTAATTCCAAGCGAAAATAAAGTATGTTACAGTATACCCGTTTAGTTTTGACAAGATTTCAATCACTTTTTGTATGTGAAAAAAAAAACAATTTTAAGACCTCGTTAAATGAAGTCTATATAATTAATTAATTTTTTTATTTATTTCAGAAAAAAGCTCTCGGACAAGAACTTTATGATCAAGTATTCTATACCCTTGACCTCGTAGAAAAAGATTACTTTGGTCTTAGTTTTACAGATGCCAACCAGATACAGGCAAGTCTCTTCAAAATACTATTTGTTCACTCAAGATGTGTAATGAATCTGGTTTTCATTCAATTTATTTTGATTCAACAAGAACTTCTATATGTGGAATTCCTGCAAGGTATCACTGGTGGACTTATAAATACAGTACATTCTTAGTAAAGCCTGTTATGGTATACATCTGTGTATTTATTATAGGTGTGAACATTCAATACTTGTGTGTAAATAATACCAGCATTTCATGGTACAGTGACTATTTTAATTCAACACATAGAAATATAGAGACATGCTACCTGGTATTTATTTTTTTAGTCTTGAGTCTATTAGTAAACAATGGCTGGGCAATTTTGCCCAACCCCCCTATAATAACATAATTCTATAGTAATTGTTTCACTAATAATACCCAGTGGCATCTTTGATTTCAAAGATATCAATTTTCGCATTCTTTACAGCCTAAAGCATGTTTAGGAGAGGGTTTACTATGAGTATCATATTTTTAAAGTTGGCTTAAGTCCC